AACGCCCCCGCCGCCAACGCGCACGCCCACGGCCACCGCCACCACCACCATCACCACCACCACCACCACCACCATCACCGACACGCGCACGCCTCGGGTGAGTGCTTTCTCAGTTCTTTCTCCCTCCCACCTTTCTTTTCCCTTTTCCTCTCCCCTTCTCCCATTCTCTCTCTCACTCTCTCCCCCCCAAAAAGAGAGGGTTTAACATGATTTATCTTGCACCATTAACTAAGCTTTCATTTATTTCCTATTTGATAATAAATATAAGCTTCGTTTCCTTATGAAATAATAAATTATCCAATTAGGGTTGTTGATATAGGAAAGCCTGTATATCTTTTATCTTTTGCCAGTGGCGGCTGGTGCCCCAACAAATTAAAGTTCGCACCTCCATCGAAAGGCAAAAATGTAATTTCTAAAGTTCAGAACGCTAATATAAAATAAAAGCAATTCATGTAAATTAATTAACACTAAGATAAATAAAAGCCTGTATTGAGACATTACTTACATAATTTTATGCGTAATGCCAGTCTCAGGTATATACACCTTCCGCGCGTGTGGTAATATAATTCATACAAAACAAAAACTTGGTCTCGAAAATATGGTGATCGACTCCAGCACATTGCAACAAGCACTATTGTTTCGACATATTTTACCCAACAACACACACACACACACACAACACACACACACACACACACACACACGTATTTCCGCCAGCGCTCTCAGAAATACCCATCCATTGTGACACTTCATTCCACAAAGGCCAACATTACATAAAAAAGGAATCAGATCAAACATCATAAATAATGAATTCAATACTGTTAATAATTGACTGAACTTGTTTTCATTCAATAACACTTGAAATACTTAAAATTAAGTTACAGCTAATTTCAGACGCAGAAAATTGAGATTTCTTTCTGGACACCGCACAGCGCTCGACTAGAGTCCCTCCGCCTATTGTCTGCGCCGCCTAAGTTGAAGCGCCCTAAAGACCAAAGAGTAAATGCAGTAATAGAGGCAAGAGCCGCGAGCGAGGACAGCAGACGACGGAGAGCTCTTGATTTCAAAATAATTTCATATACATCGATATTGATGCAATATCTTGAATTTTGAATGTCATTAAAACGAGAATGTATATTTCTAACAATATATTTTTCGATTATTTGAGGGTTATGTAACCTAAGCACGAGCTGCCTCTGCTCTATTCTCGTTCGGTAGTCACTATTCTATACATCAGTGGTTTGTTATACTTTATGGGATGCGAAAATGTTTCGTTAAGAAGTTACATAGAAGCGAGTCAGCGAATGTTTAAAAGTTACGTTTGTCATGTACTTTGAGAGGCAAATACTTTTTTATATTTTGCCCAATGACAATAAAAAACAATCTATTTTCCATGACACAAGGATTGCACGCTGTCATTTACGAAAGTCCGTTTTACTCGCTTTCTTTGATTTATCACTTTCTTTTGTCTTAAAATATTTTGATGATTGCTAAGGAACTGACTGTATTGTATGTCGTAGAAATATTTAAATTAATTAGCAGACGATGTATTGGTATTGCCATTAGAAATGTGAATTTTTTCTTTTAAACCAGGAATTGCAAATACACTACATTAAAGATCCCACGGAATCATGTGGCCCTTCAGATCGATTGCCTTTCCATCTTGATCACGTGCAAAGAGTATATCAACAATCCACCAAGTTAATATTTACTTTATACAACAGGTATAAAGGTATTAGTTCATAAAATTTTGTGTCTCCGCTCTGGTTGCGTCGCTAATAATTTTATTATAAACGGACTTAAATATCAGTTTTCCCCCTATAGAAAAGGATGCTCGTTAATTTGGTCTGCTGGCGTTTGTATGCATACGGAAGTGTAAACTTAACGTATCATTTGGCTGTTATCGAGCAGCGTACCTAGTTGTGTTGTCGAATTGCCTGCAAGAGCGCTCCTTTTGGCTGTGGTGCAGAGGGCGAGGACGGCTTCGAATCGGACACGGAGCGCGAGGACACGACGGACGAGGAGGCGGCGGCGGCGGCGGCCGCGGCTTCAGCCCCCGCCCCCGCCCCCGCTCCTGAGAAGGCCGCACGCCCCACCTCCCGCCGCTCCACCGCCAGCGCTGCCCCGGAGCCCGGTGAGTGCAAACGGAATGGCGCTTCTAAGGTGGCAAAAACATCCATGTTCCATGATACATTTCTGCAGAAACATCAATGTTTAAAAAATCTCATGGTGTAAATAAAATTTTTAGTATCTGTTCATTTTTTATTAGTTCATTGCTTGCAATTAACAGCAATTGACAATCCACATGTGGCACAAAACCGTTTGCGATTCGCAACCTTTCTCCAGTGTTTTTACCTTGTTTGATTATTTGGTACGTGGCCATATTAAACTTTACTACGTAGAACATGGATTAGAACATGTAGATGACAGTCACATTTCACGCAGAATATACTTTAAACTAATATTGACGTGTTACGAATCACATTAGAACAAGGTCATTTTGCTTCGCAATGTTTCAAATTTAAAAGATAGATGAACATCTATAATTTTTGTCGACTTTTTCGTCAACCTTGAATACCTTTTGGTAAAGTACCATTCTGGGAGTAAAAGGACCCAGTTTCATTTTGGCTTCACTCGTACTTGCCTCTGTTAAACAGGAAAACATTCTACCAACATAACGACGTAGTTCTGCGTGGGTTCTTAGTCATCTTTATTAGTCACTAAATCTCTAGGTAGGCTGATGGGCAACGTAATAACTCCCCGTGGTGTAAACCCCGGTCGAAGCAAAAATAGAGTTGTAGCTTTCTTTTAAAAATCGTCTCAGATTCTGTTGCTGTGGACAAAAGTTCAGGCAGGCGAAGTTTTCTAGCTCCTGTGAAGGGAATATGTCGTGTTTGTCGCATGTCGCTGTTACCCCCAAGAGTGGGAATTAGGGTAGGCCCAGGCATGGGGGACAGACACAATTAGATAGGTGGCAAAGACGGACTATCCCCCCCCCCCAAAAAAAAATCCCAAAACATATTAAACATCCGCTAACATTCAAAATCCTCTCTTGTAAAATTCCCTGAAAGTCGGATAAAACCTTGTCATTCTGTGTCTAATACGGCTTCTAGACATTTTAATTCAATAATTTTAAGTATGAAATTTTGACTGACTTATACGACGATTAAATTAGATATTTCCCCTCCACACCGAACTTTCACCTCCTAATTTTGTTCTGACCTTAAATAATAAATATGTATTTTTCCTGATTTGATTCACAGTGTGTTGTTTCAATGGACTTAGTTAAATTGACGGGTCTGCGCTCATATTTTATGCTACACCTGGCACAAAAAAAAAAAGATAAGGAAGAAAAACCTTATTGGCCCTAAGCCTTCTAGTTTGTATATTCGCAGTTAGCATTAAACGTTGATTACAAAAGTCAGATTTAATCAGTAAAGATAGTTTGGATTGTAATGTGAGAAGTAGAGGATGCCTCAGAATAAATCCCAAAACGCATATGTGATTTGACCAAATCACTTCTTGCGCAAAGAGCTTCGTATACCCGTCAAACACGAACGCGTGAGGGGTTGCCTACATTTCAGGGGCAAACGCCACGCGTTAATTCGACTTCCCACCACTTGTTGATTGGTAAATGAACCTGATTGGCAGGAACTCTTTCTGCCGTGATGTGTCACTTTAAATATTGAATTTTTTCGATTTTTTTCATTTGGTGCATGCGGGTTAACAGAGATGCTTGTTCAGACACTTCTTGTCGAACAATAAACACAAAGAACTCGGTACTGTTATTGACAATGAGCGGGTCGTTCCGTGACCCTTCGTGTCCCAATGAAGGGCGCTGTATGACATTTTGCACCACGTTGCAGCACGTATTCCCCTTTAGGTACAAAGTGTGCCCTGTGTGTATCCTTCGTATAACTTTATTTCACTCTGAATTGGTGCGCGACTGTGCTCAGTAGCCCTTCATTTGTAATACTTCCGTCTTATTCAAGACATACAGCCTCGTTTCTATCTTGCAAATCCTTTAGTTTGAAACTTGTAAGGTGTATGGCTATCTGTGTGGTTGGTACCTCTTAAAACGAATGAAGGCGAGCGCATTGTTGGTTGCAGCCGCAGAGCCCACCCCGTCGAAGGAGGATGCGGCTGGCGGCGGGGGCGACGCGCCGTCTCGGGCTCCGG